AATCATATCTTTTATGTGCTAATTTGAAGATTATTTCACTAAAGTTAAATCTAACAGGATGAATTTGGACTTGGTCTAATAAATTTGTTTAATAATATAGTTTGAATTTTAAAAAAAGTATATAATAATAATCATATTCAAAAAAAAATTAAAAAATGAGATAATCCACTAAATATATAATTTCAATTGAGTTCATTTTAATATAATGCTATTAAAAACTATATAAAATTCGACATAGTGCATTGATTTTTAATGAATATATATTATAGTTTTTAAAATTTGTCCTAAAAATGTTCTTTTTTTTTAAATCTGTCCTCATTAAATAAATCAATTTGAACTTAACCATTAAAACCATTTTTGAACTTAAGCATTAAGGAATTATACTACATCATTGTCTCTATATCTTCACTAATTTACTACATCTGAAAGTTCACATACACACACAACTCAACTGATTTGATTCTGCAAATATAGTCAAATTGTGCTTAATTCAATACATTTTCTTCCATAAAATGAGTAACATAAAGTAAGAAATGAAATAAATTCCCATTCTTTTATTGTAAATTATGTATAAAAATTAATGTTCAATAATACATTTTATAATATTAGGCTTGTCTGATAATGTGTGTGAATTTCTTAATGTCTAATTATTCAACAGCTGTTTAGTTAAGGAACATGGTCTATAATTTGATATAAAACAAATATGGAATAATATTTGGGCTTTTCATCTCTTTCCTTTATAGAAAAGTTAATCATTCTGAATTCCAAATAACGGAATCTTAAAAGTAATTGATATTTTAAATAAGTCTTATTTTCATCAACCATCATTCAATTTTAGTGACTTCTATTTGCAGACAGTGATAATTAACCTATATACATCATAAATGTCTGTTTCTCAATTTCTTAAACAACTAATATCTTCTTCTTAACGTTATAAATTTCATTTCTGAATATGTTTGCTAAAATATTGCCATACTTTATTTATAACAGGGTTTTCTTCTTTTGAAATTGTAATTTCAAAAGAAAGAAAATTATCTTACAAGATAATCCTAAAATCAGAAATCTACAGCCAGATTGTCTGAAAAATCAGGTCAATTCATACTTATAGATAAGAACTAAAATTCCTGTAAATGATGAACTTATAATATAAATTCTTTTTAAAAAACAAGTAGAATTTTATTTATCAGACTGTATAAAAATTAATGAAAATATGAAAAAACTGAGATATAAATTGTTTAAATAAACTTTTAAAAACTTTACTATAAGAAAGAATTAATTATAAAGTATAATATTTATATTTACCATCATATATGCGAACCTCAATAGTTTTCTGTCTACTACTAATATAATTACTGAAAAAAGTCTTTATATAATGCAGTCCCACTTCATGGAAATATCTCACAATAATAAAATTGCAAGTTGTAGTTACAATTGGATCAGTGCATGTAAAGTTTGCCTTAGATTCGTTAAATGGCACAATTTCCCAACAATATTCAAACGATGGACCACTGAAAAAACAAATAATAATTTTATTCTTATTCAACACACATTTAAATTATAAAATTATATATTATATACAATGGTAACTTGATTATCCAAAGTAGTTTTAAAAAAAACCAGAACCATACATATCACAGAGTACAATGCATAGATACTAAACTCCATGTAAGTGAAAATTACTGTCATCTGTCAATTGTAGCACCATGAAACTAGGTCATAATATATATATATATACACCTGTACGTTATGTTAGATTTTGAGTAAATTAATTTACTTTTAAATACAGCAATTGCATTACAGTATTCATAATTCATGAAACTTTAAATGCATAGTGCTTAATGTACCAAAATATAAAGATAAACAGAGTTTCAGGATTATCCAAAATTTCATTTATCTGAAAGACCCTGATCCGATCAAGTTCAGATAATCAAATTGATATTGTAAGACATATATATATATATATGTCTTACAATAAAGCAGATCTCTCTGTTGAATTTGAAATTATTTTCAGATGGAAAGATAATTTTAAAGTCATTCTATGATGTTAGTAACATAAAATAAGCAATTACATTATCACAGTTTTATTTACATTAAAATTTTTTAATTATCAATTTCTTGTTTTGTTGATTGTGTTTTTCATTACATTAAATATATTGTATTTCTCATTGATCAATATTACATCATAAGAAAAGAAAAGCATAATCAATAAAAATAAGATGTGAATTAATATATGGATAAACTGTAAACAACAAAAAGAAATCATAAGAATAAGTAAAGCACTTAACTGAACTTAAGATAAAAAATATTGAAGTACCATTTGCATATGATTAAACCCATATCTCAGTCCCATTAAGATAGTCTCACATGTGGGATTATTTTTTAAACTATGGATTACTGTAAACTTATTCAAAACTATATAACTGTAAAAAGATTCTAAAAAATAGACCCAGTGTGTCTAATCAAGTATTATGGTATTACAATTTATCTAAAGATTTATCTTATAGATTGACAATTTATCTATAGATTTATGTTGATAAATTTATCTTCTTATGTCAAGAATGACTAAAATTATGTATCTTGCTGTCTAAAATATTCTCAAATACACTGAGATCTGCCTTAATTCTCATTTATAAATCTACACTATAGCATATGTTACAAACTTATGTTAATTAAAAGAAATTACAGAAATGAAAAGTTTTAAATGTCAATATATTGTCCAATAAAGTTCATTTTAATATAATGCTATTAAAAACTATATAAAATTCGACATAGTGCATTGATTTTTAATGAATATATATTATAGTTTTTAAAATTTGTCCTAAAAATGTTCTTTTTTTTTAAATCTGTCCTCATTAAATAAATCAATTTGAACTTAACCATTAAAACCATTTTTGAACTTAAGCATTAAGGAATTATACTACATCATTGTCTCTATATCTTCACTAATTTACTACATCTGAAAGTTCACATACACACACAACTCAACTGATTTGATTCTGCAAATATAGTCAAATTGTGCTTAATTCAATACATTTTCTTCCATAAAATGAGTAACATAAAGTAAGAAATGAAATAAATTCCCATTCTTTTATTGTAAATTATGTATAAAAATTAATGTTCAATAATACATTTTATAATATTAGGCTTGTCTGATAATGTGTGTGAATTTCTTAATGTCTAATTATTCAACAGCTGTTTAGTTAAGGAACATGGTCTATAATTTGATATAAAACAAATATGGAATAATATTTGGGCTTTTCATCTCTTTCCTTTATAGAAAAGTTAATCATTCTGAATTCCAAATAACGGAATCTTAAAAGTAATTGATATTTTAAATAAGTCTTATTTTCATCAACCATCATTCAATTTTAGTGACTTCTATTTGCAGACAGTGATAATTAACCTATATACATCATAAATGTCTGTTTCTCAATTTCTTAAACAACTAATATCTTCTTCTTAACGTTATAAATTTCATTTCTGAATATGTTTGCTAAAATATTGCCATACTTTATTTATAACAGGGTTTTCTTCTTTTGAAATTGTAATTTCAAAAGAAAGAAAATTATCTTACAAGATAATCCTAAAATCAGAAATCTACAGCCAGATTGTCTGAAAAATCAGGTCAATTCATACTTATAGATAAGAACTAAAATTCCTGTAAATGATGAACTTATAATATAAATTCTTTTTAAAAAANTATAATTCAAATATCAAAAACAAAATATCTTTATTTTCATCTGTGAAAATATGGATATTTTGTTTTTGACTTTTGACTAAGATTTCCTCTATATGCTAATCAAAAATTACACCAGTATAATAAGTCCTATTAATAAACAAGGTCCAAGTAGACAAGATATACATAGAAATTTAAAAGAGTAAGGACTTAAAAGTAAAAAGAAGTAATATGTAGTAAATTAATTAGAATTAATAATAGCATTGTATGAATTAAAGAATTTTATCAATTCTTTGAAAATAGCTATTATGACAAAATGTTAATTTAAACAAAAACACTTGTTAGAAATTATCCATCAAATAAAAATTGAACTACTGAAAATCTGTTCAAACTTATGGAATAATGCTTGAATTATTAGAAATTGATTAGGATCAATGCCCAATACTTCTAATCAAGACTGAAAAAATACTGGAAATCTACAAGTTTAGAAATAAATTATTAAATCACAAGTGGACATTTGAGATTTGTTCCTAAATAACTTTGAAAGTTTAATTTTGGTCATTTAATTTTTGCATTTGTTTATTTTTATTATTGATAGTTTATTTTTAGCATTAATTTTTGCAATTATTTATTACTTTAACCTTTTTTTTTATTTGTTGTTAATTTTTATATCATGTTAACATTCAAATGTTTGTTTTTGTTCTATCTTACATAAGGATATCCTTGTATTTTAAATTATTTATGTACTAGAACCTTAATATGACCATATAAAATGATTAAACACATTTACTCATTAATAAGTTGTTGCAAAATTTAAAAGATTTTTGTTTTGAATTGATTAAAATGTATTTAGTTTCTTGTTCATTTGTCTCTCATATAAAATAATGGTAAAAATATCTCAGAAATTATGATAATTTGATTTCATATGAAAACTTAGATTAATTAAAAAAATAAAAGAAAAATTTAATATCATCATAAAAACAACAAATTCTAATACTTCTATCCATTAGAATCCTAATATTATCCTAATAATATGAAAGTTTAGATATATCCAAGTATATGTAAAATTTCAATAATTATTTAGCACTCTAAAACTTTAAATTTACAGAAAAAAAATTCTGTATTTAATAACAAAATGACTTTTTTCAGATAATTATACTTCTTAATTAATTTAACATTCTGAAATTAAAAATTTTATTAATCAATTCTATAGTAAATTTTTCTATGCACAAAATTTTAAAGCTGCTCAAAATGAAGATGGGTTAAGGAGTAAATTAAGTATTTTTAATTTATATATAAAGAAATAATTTAATATATAAATGTCCTATGTAAAACTTACAAACATATAAAATAATAAAAATAGTTTCTTACCCTTAACAGTTATATCTTTTGTAAAATGACCCCACTTAGTCTTAAATTTGTCTTGAAAATTTTCATCACCATCTAAACCTATTGCAATAATCATCACTGAGATTCTATAGTCTCCAGCTGTAGTAAAATTATATAAAAAAGTGCTTCCTTCATTGACAATTTTTTTATTATTAATATCCCAAAAATATAATAGCTGCCTGTCCAAAAAAAATCCATTTGGATCATAAATTACAGCAGTGAAGTTGATCAACTTGTTCACGGCAAAAGCTTCATTATCTTCAAAATCATCTTGCTGGACAATTATTTCACCAACCATATTTTCTACAAAAATTAATAAATACATTTTATATGAAATTTGTACAATAGCAAATTAAACAAATTTTCATTTGTCCTATCTTAAAAATTTATCAGTTATCATCATCAGCAATTTAGATATATAAAGTTTATATATGAAGTTATTATTAATGTAATGAATATTTTCATTGTATTTTATAATACATTCTGCAATTGAGTTTTTATTTATTTTTATCAATAACTTTGTGTTGGTAGCTTCATACATATATAGGGACACACATAGTCCATTTATATATATATATATATATAAAAATGGACATGTATGTCCCTATATTTCACATTTTTGCCAAAACTACACATCGCACTTGAATGCTGTTTGTATGTGGTAGTAGCCCCAAGTCTCCATTCGTGCATAGGGGTGGTTGTGTCTCGATAGCTATAAGGGTGCGGGAGATATGGGCTTGAAAGTGGTTGAAAGTGGCTTTCTATTTCGAATGTTTTGTTCAAATTAAATTCAAACATAAAATTCGAATATTGGTTCGATTATAGAACGATTGTAAACGTTCCAGAAAATTGTTAAAATTGAAAATAGTTCGTTTGACTGGACGTAAAAATTCTCTAATTAGTCTGGAAACGGGGGACCTAATTCTTGCATTCTGTGAAAACGGGTAAGGTTGGCTATAATGTAATTATCTTAATCTTCACTATCGTTACTTTTTGCCCAGCGAAGCGGGTCCTTGCAGCTAGATTCTAGATTACTTAGAAAAACAGTCTTTTATATATATATATAAAAAACTATATTACATACAAATGTACGAACAAATAAAAACCCAGCGAAGCGGGTCCTTGCAGCTAGATTCTAGATTACTTAGAAAAATAGTCTTTTATATATAAAAAAAAACTATATTACATACAAATGTACGAACAAATAAAAGCCCAGCGAAGCGGGTCCTTGCAGCTAGTAAATGTGATAAAATTTGTGTTCTATCTCAAAGACCACTGAATTGGATTATTTCATGAAAACTGACATAATGATGGAATCATTCAAAATAATTTGCATTTTATAATTTTTGAAGCTATCATTACAAGGAACTTCTGGTCCTATTCATCCTATATGATGATCTCAGCATGAGCATCATCAACTGGTAACAGTTTTTGGGTGCATTTGTTAATAGTGGTTGCTCTGTAATGGGAGTGTGCTGCTGTTTGTAGGCATTTAGGAACGACGGTGAAAGAAAGATGGCGGCGCCCGCACTACCAATAGTAACATGATGGAGGAATCTATAATTCTAAAATAAACTTTTATAGGCAAAAGAAGGGTCCCAATTGTAAAATTTAACCATTAAATGGATTATTTGTTGAAAGAGCATTCAAAATAGCCATAAAAACAATTAGAATGCTTGTGCAGAGTTACGCGGTGGTATAAAAAAAATGCACCCCTTATTACATTTTGTGTTGTATGAGGGTTTTACCCAGTTCCCAAACTGTGTTAGAGTGAACCCATGCTATAAAATCACCGTGTTATACGGGGATGTTCCCAATTCTTGAATTGTGTTAGAGTGAATCTGTGCAATAGAAGTGCCGTGTTATACGAGGTTACCTGTATATATATATAGGTAGAATTTGCTTCTTGTAATCACTTTAGGAGGGTCATAATTTTAAGCATGATAAATAAGACTACAGTTAGTGGAAATTCTAGTTATTAATAAATGTGAAACTTAAAGATTTATTAATTAATAATGATTGATCTAGTGCTTTTTGCTGCTGGTCTCTGCAATATTATCTTTAACATGTAACAATATTCTTTACTTATATGTAACAATACATATAAGTAAAGAAAGTGATGTTAGCAATTTAAGTTATTATTCTGCAAGCAAATAATGTTTAAAGCAGTGATGCCCAACCCGTGGCCCACTCACTGTTTTGTGTGGCCCTTTTAAAACAGTAATTATCTTGTATAGATTTTTATTATGAAAAATCACATGTATAGTTAAATATATTAATATGATGTATAACACCTTATCATACCTGTACTGTACACTAAGAAATTAAAACAGTATTAAATATTTTTTTAACAAATCTCTAAATGTATTACATAATATATATGTGTAGGTACAGTACATACTGTATATGTACTATATATGTATTTAATCAGTATGTTTACAACAACAAATATTTCTAAATTGGTGTTTTGATATAATAAAATTATTTTTCTTTAAATTTGCCATATATGTGTAATAAATGTCAAACAATAGATACATTCTTAAGTTACAACACTCTTCTGTGTTTCCAATAAACAATAAGAAATGTCATTGTTTTCTTTAAATTCTTTGGAAATAAGTCTAATGAAATTTCAATTAGAATTATATGTTTACATGTGCATACAGATTTAAAATTTCAAATCATTCTGTGTTTAGACTGTTAACGGGTTTAATTATGTTTTACTGTGCACGTTATTTGATTATAGTCAGCCTCTAAGGGGTGTTTCATGTAACGGTTATGTTTTGCAGGTCATTTCAAAATCGAATGATCGTTAGTTACTGTTTTCTTTTCTTTGATCTGACAGCCATTTTTAATAAAGTTATTATTCTGTTTAGCTATCTTTGCTAATTAAGTCATGGAAAGTGCTTAAAAAATTTTAGAAATTGAAAGATGAAATTTAAGTTTTTATGAATGAAAAGAACCAGAATGTTCTTAAATTATATGATGGACAATGTTTTTGGATTTATGTTTCATTCCAAATATCACAATGAAATTAAACAAACTTAATAAGCAGCTTCAAGGTGAAAACAAATTGATCACAGACTGTTATCAAAATATAGAATAATTCATAGCAAATCTCAAACTTTATGAAAGTCAGTTAAAAGCAAAAACTACAATTTATCATCAAAAATTACATAAATTTAATAGTGACAAAATACATTTTTCTAAATATGCACAAGAAACTAATTTACTAAGAGAATTTCAAGAAAGATTTTCATATTTAAAAATTTATGAAAATATATTTAATATATTCTTATGTCCATTTGACATTGTTGTGGAACAAGCTCCAACAAATTTGCAGATAGATTTGATAGAACTCCATTCACCTTCTGAATTGAAATATATGTTTGAGGCCAATAACAAAGTTCAGTTTTATACAAAAAATGTCTGTAATGATAAATTCCCTAACCTAAAAAATGTGATGAGCATTACAGCTGCAATGGGAATCACCTATCTTTGTGAATCTTTTTTATGAAAACTGAAGATTGTTAAATGTAAAAGTCATAATAAATTGACCAATACCGCAAAGCTTGTCACTTCCCAATGTATATCCCAGCGAACTCCTGTGACCCATTCAGATATAAAATGGTGGCCTTTAAAGCACTGGTTAAGAGGGCCCACACCCATTCTTCAACTCAGGAGGCATTAGTTCAAGAATTGAACTATATACTTAACATCGCCGGTCAGCAGGGATTCTATAACATGGTCCATAAGTTAGCTCAAAATTACAGTGTCGGCCTACCACCGCCACAGACGGGGAATAGTATAGAACAAGATCTACCCATCACAATAGTCACATACAACCCCTTCCTCGTATCCTTATACCAAAAAATCGCTAAAAAAAAAGGATTACGACTGTCGTTCAGAAGATGTCCGTCTATGTTTAAGCTTTTACGCAATGAAAAAGATAAACCTAAGGAGGATAAGCTGCCAGGGGTATACGCTGTTCCCCTCGTGGACCACAGATTTGAGAGACAACTTATCTACATTGGTGCTACTAAGCGTTCGATTGGTGTCCGATGGGCGGAACACAGAAGTGACATCATTCACAACAGGGCTACTACTTCGTTATCCACGTATGCTTCGGACCCGGAAATTTCGGTAGACTTTGATAACGCTAAACTCCTCATTACCACTAAATTTACGGATCACATCAAATGGTTGGAACAAATGGAGATCTGCAAGGCATACAACACGTCTGAACCTATTAACTCGAGGGATGAAATTACCCTATCCCTTGCATGGCAGGCCCTACTACAGAAAGAAGATACGCATTAATAATACATTTCATAAATAGGGTGTAAACATCATGCATAGGAATTTTTAAACCGAACATTTTTTATTTTTATTTTTTATTGTATTTATTTACGGAATTCGGGAATGCACGTGATTCACATTAACGTTGAATTTTGACTTTTGAAATGTTGTTCGGAAGAATAATTTTTTGAATATTGCTATTTACTGGTCTTCGTTCATAGTTATTCTAAAGACGAATCGCTGCTTGAGAAAGGTCCTAGGGAAGGAACCGAAAACATTCGCAGTTCATTTTACAATTATTTAATACCGGTTATTGGTTTTAGATTGACCAATAGAAATAAAATAAAATAAAAAAACCAATTATGTTGTATAACATCAAAAATACCTGTTGATAATAAATCACCAAACGATTGCCTAAATATCGGGCTATAAAACCTACCTCTAGTGTCAAATTACTTTATACCAATCATTTAATTAGCCATATTATAGTCTGATATTTAGGTGATCGTTTGGTGTTTTTTATATACCTGTTGATATTAAAAAATTAAGTGAAAAAATTGAAAGCAAGTTTCACATTAGAATACATACAAAATACTGTATAATTGTATACGTTTTGTTGTAAATAAATATGTGTGGCCCACATTGTATTTTTATTTTTGGTTTTGACCCAGCAAACAATTTTGGTTGGACAACACTGGTTTAAAGCATTGATTAATGAGACTAGTAATGATTGCATGTTATTAGTCACATATCAAGGCTGATAATATGAAAAGAACTTAAAAATGTCTATTTAACTAAAGATGATAATAATAACTGAACTCTGACTACAAGAGCAAACTGTTTGTTAACTTAAGTTTTGGTACCTGTAATGTTGATAATATTAAACAACTAATAACATTTGTGATTATTATATGCGTTTTTCATGAACTATAGAGAGCGCTGCATTTTTACAAATTGGCTACTTTATCTGGGTCGTTTGTAACAAGAAATGTAAAATTAATCATATATTACTGTCTGATATAATGATATATGCTGTTTGTAGCTGTTTATCAAAAAATTTTATAGAAGGAGAACAATTATTGTTAGCAGGACACATCATTATGTGGTATTGAAACAAATCAGTGAGATTGTTCTATACATGTTTGTGCCCTTCGTGTTAAAAAAACATCAGCTTTGATATCTGTCCCATCAGGGCCGATTTACAAGTAAGCTATGTAAGCTATTGCTTAGGACCATCAAGGTCCTAAGCAATAGCTTACATAGCTTTCAAGAGACCTCAAATTTTTCTACAGAAAAAAAAATTGAAGTCAAATTTTGTAATAAAATTTTTTTACAAACCAACAAAATATACTTTACTTTTTATTTTGTGTAGTATTTCATTAATTTTTTTTGGAAAAGAATTAACATAAAAAATCTTTTTTAAAAAATTGATAAAGCCAATTTAAAAAAAAAAAATTTTTAATGGAACAGATATAAAAATTTAATTAAATTCAGTTATAAAATATAAGAGTAGTGAAACCTCATGTCTTTTTCTTTCAATATCCAAATTAATTAAATTAATTAAATGAGAGACATAGTCTGATTTAATTCTTTTCTCTTTATGATTGACTTCTAAAATTGTGAAGGGTTGGTAAGGGGTCTTACTGAGTTCAGCTTAGAGCCTCGAAATGCTTAAATCCAACCCTGTGTCCCACACAAAATTACTGGATTTTAAATTTTTAAAAAAAATTCTTTAAAATTGACAGCATAACTTGTTCATGTAAAGCTGGACAATTGGGAAACTTTTGCCAATTCTTAACACTCTAATCCACTCTTTCAAAATTCAGAGAAAATTCAGAGAAGCTTATAAATATAATTGACCAGTTTTCAAATAATCATCTGTTTTCGTGTGGGAATAGACAAAAATTTATAGTGGGTTCCTGCATGACTTTGAAATTGCAATTTGGAATGAAATAGAAAGTTTTGCTTTTTCTATTGCTATTCATCTTTACTGCTGATAATACACAAGAATGATTCAAACGACCCAGATAAGATAGTTTTCTTTTTAAACACCAGAGGGCAAGTATCCGGTGAAAAATGCAAATAGAGTCCATAGTATTTTAAAAAATTTTTATACTTCATATATTAAATTATAAAATTATAT